ACTAATAATAGAATAAAAACATTAATTAGGGCCACTGTAACGATAACGGTAAGACGTACTTCTTTTGTACGCATAGTTCTGGTTTGAGCTCATGGATGGTAAGAGCTTCGGCTATTTTTAGGAGTTGGATACGAAGAAATCTAGGTACATTTGAACGAATCATATAAATAACCTTAAAATCAAACTATGGATCCTCAGAATGATTACAGTCGATTAGGTGCTCAAGTATAGAACTCCTAACTGCTTTCCTTTCACCCTTGCAGAATCAAACTGGGATATGTTCTCGTATCCGAGTTGAAAGCGAACGCTGGCTACGACCAATTTACGTTGCTCCACAAGAGCAAGTGAACTGGTAGATGCATATGGAGGCGACCAGATGTGGAAGCTTATCTTTTATAGATACAGAAAATAAGTTCCTACCAGTGAAGGTTATTCACAGTTTTGCTGCATTAAATGTTCTTTTAATCACTGTCATTAGGCGATTTTTGATTACATCAGATGTTCGATCTCCTTTCAATTCCAGACTTATAGAGAGGTTTTTCTTGGAGACGGAACAACTTCATAATAAATTCGTTGAAAAAAGATCCCTTCGTTGAACTTTGTTTTTTTATAAAAAATTTTAATGTTTAAATAAGAATTATTTATCAATTTTATTTAGCTATGCCAGCTCCTATTCTTGGTGATGTAATTGCATGTTTAGCTCAACAATCAAATAATAAGAAATTACTTCAATATTCTGGTCATTGTTTATTTGCTCCTGATTTAGCTTCAGAATTTGGTATAAAATCATATGATGGTTATAATTTTACAAATTTACGTTCTATTAAAGGATTATTACAATTAATTGGTTGGAAACATTTAGCTATTTTATTTCCAGGATTTATTAAAATCCCTTATTGGTTAATTGCTATAGTGACATCAAAATTTTAAAGTATCCCTTTTTTATTATAAATCATGTATTAGTTTAATTTCTTATATTTATAATCTGTTATTAGTGATAGTTTATCTTTTAGCATTTAACTGTCTTTTTCTATTTACATAATGTATATGAAATAGAACTATATTCATCCGTCTACTTATATAATTGATCAGTAGTATGATAGACTTTTGCAATACTCCTTTTTCACAGTTGTGTTTTTTTCTTCAAACAATAACTTCTTTGTATTGATAAACTACAATCTCTTTTCCTGTGCTAATGTGGTATGGCAACTCGAACTGATGTACATACGTACGAAGTTCTACGTTGTTACTGACTGACAATCTCTTTTCAATTAACGCTAATATTCCGTTATTTATTATTGTATTACTATTAACAATACTATTATGACCATTGTTGTTTTACAATATATTCAAAAGGTTTTTATACACTGTTCAATGTTTTCAATATTTATATATCTATTGTTCAACTGTGAAATGATAAAGGCAGCAATTTTCTAATTTCTTTCTGTTATTCGGTAAAAAAACAGATTAATTTACCTCATTATTGTCTATAATCATTATATGTATACTTTTTTTAGTCTTCATGATCCATCATCTTCTTTATATTGAATGGTCATCATCATAGATCTTTTTCATTTCAGAACAAATTGTTATTATAATCTTGATGGAATTTTGTTCTGTGAGCTGGATGGTTTAGAGCTTTCATCCTTTTTTGAACGACATCATCGAATTTCTCCACATATGGTTCACAGCTTGTCCTGTAAACTTCGATGTTGATTAGTTCTTATTATAATCGTATAATTTTCAGTTAACAATAATATCAGTTATTGATTATCATACAAGTTGTTTACGTTTATTACCTATTATCTTGTATATGTATGACAAGTTTTTTTTTGTCGTTGTTTACTTTCTATTGTTCTATTTCATTATCCTTGTGGTTAAGTTTATATTATATAAATTTCCGTTAACAAAACAGCTATTACGAAATAAGTTAATTCCCCAATTCTTCTGACCTCTTTAGTGGTTATATTACGTAATTAGCACAACGATGTTTTCGTATTAAGTACATGAGTTAGTTTGTTATGTTATTGCCCCCAAATGCCCTGGTGCGACCGAAAGTGGGAAGAGTCAGCTCTCCCTCTCGAAATGCTCTCACATGGCCACAACTACTGCCAGGGAAGTTCTGCTCGTTGCCTTCTCGTGGCGGGGGTGTTGTTTACGAAGTTGAGAGGACGAAAAGAGAATGTCCAGAGCTTTAACCGGGTTGGTGGACACAGAGAGTTCACATAGGGGAGTTGGGAAACCCTGATTCCAAACCAATGGTGCACATGGGCTCCAGTATCCTGAGGGAACAAATGGTGTATGGGCCTATTGTTGATCACCGGTTACCATGGGGCTGCATTTCCTGACGTTGCTGCACTGCCTTGTGGATTAGACCTTCAGGTCAAAAGCTCGGGGTATGGCCCCCTAAGAAAATCACTTGTTTCACTTCGGGCACCCGAACAGTATGCCAGCCCTTATACAAATCGAGTGATTTATGTGGCGCATATGTATTTGGTGCCTCTTTGTACTAATGTTTGTGTTTAAATAAATAAATACTATTCACTCTCAGCACAAGAGATTGGGATGATGGGCAGGAAACCATATAGAGTCAGGGAGGTGACATGTCCATATATGTAAGTACTCAGTCCTAGTCATCTTGATAAGTGCGAAACTTAGAATTACTAGTTCAATGGCCACACTACTATTTAATACCATGTGAACTCAGGCTTGACTCAGATTCATCACTGCACTGAATATACATTTTAAGACACCAAGGGATGTTTATCCGATTCATTAAACTACACCAGTCTCAAATCCAGAAGTGAACACTTAATTGAGTCGGCATAATGTTAACGCGATATTGTAAGAGTAACTCATCTCATTTTTAAGGTGTTTTCTAAACTGAACATTATAAACACTACTGCATTGATGTAGATTCTTCAGACAACAACTATAAAGAAATCTATTCGTGAATGACAAAAGAGATGCAAGTGTACTGGTTACATTTTTAGTCTTCTGGGTGCTGTAAGTACTCAGTCACATTTCGCCTAAAACATTGAGTCAGTTTTGAATGTGTCTATTAGTCAGCCATCATTATTTACTATAGTCCAGTCCGTTTAAAAAAGCAATGTTTATCAAGTCTATAATTCAAAACGAATCTTAGTTACATTCCTAAACAGGATAAAACGTGGAAATGAGACTTCGATAGGGAGAAAGTTCATAGACATTAAATAGTCACATGACCGATTAATTAGATCCCGTAATTCATTTATTAGATGTTTGACTTTGAGTCACACTGTTTGGTGATACTATTCAATTGCTTAAACTAGTATAGTCAAAGTGAGGTTCGAATCTACAACCAAGTGATTGAAGACCTCAACTTTGAAATCGACGCTTCAGAGGAACAGTAATAACTAGCTATTAAACAAACATTGTGACTCAAGGTTGACTGAGTAAATCTCTGTTTGACAAGTGAAACCCAACAATTATTGTTGAGTTTTATCAAAATAGGTCATCTCTATGTCTGACAGACTCATCAACTATATAACTGAAATTGTTTGAAACTGAAATTCCAATGTCAGATTAAGTAATCCATTAAAATATATACGAATAAATAACAACCGTTTACTACGAACAACATAATATACGGAAAAGAAAAACATTGAATCTAGTACAATCACTGTTATTATTATTAATTCTTCCACTTCAGCCTGCGATAAAAGAGCATACTGACCCATACCAGTTTGCATACAGGCGCAAAAGAAGCACTTTAGATGCTGTTGCAGTTCTGCATCACAACATAGTGTTCAACTTAGAAAAGGGTAAGAAGTATGTTCGATGTGCATTTCTGGACTATACTTCAGCTTTTGACTCAATACCAAGACAACGTTTACTTAACAAGTTAATCAGCGTCAACACTGACAGCTGGATAACCAACTGGCTATGTTCCTACCTATCTGGAAGGGAACAGTACACAGTGTTTGAAGGAAAGTGTTCAGAGTCTCTACTGTCTCATGAAGGTGTACCACAAGGAGCTGTTCTTTCACCTCTTCTATTCTCTTTTTTTCTGCATGACCTGCCATCTTCCACAGAAAACACTTTTGTGAAGTATGCGGATGACCTCACTGTATGTATGCCTATATCTTCCTCTTTACATCCCATAGAAATGAATGAGTTTTTGTCTCGTATTGATTGTTGGTCTGTTGGTAATGGTCTCATACTTAATCCGTCTAAATGTCAAGCTGTTAACTTTAGCATGAGACATAAACGGAATATAAACACTATTTTGAGATCCCATAGTGCTTGTACCATCGGAGACTCTTTGATAAACTCAGTGTCGAAGGTCAATTATCTTGGTGTCACCTTTTCCTCTGATCTGTCTTGGTCTTCTCACGTATTATCGTTATCGAAGAAGGTTTTCCGTCTGACCTATTACATAAAGAGATTGCATGCTCTTGGAATTACTCGTCATTTACTCTTACAATTTGTCAATTCTTGCATACTACCTATTATTCTTTACTGTTCTCCATTATTCTTTCCCGGGCTTTTGAGAAAAGACTTTGCTGTATTGCGAAGGCAGTTAGCAAGGTGTGTGGTGAATCTTTCGAGGTCATAATTAATATGGTTGTGGATAGACATTTAAAATCATGCAAACTCCTGGCAGGTGTTATTTTATCAGATACTAGCCATCCCCTTCACTATTATCTTTCTCCTTGTATAACTTCTGGTAGAACGAGACGTAATTACATTAAAATGCATGCACGTAAGGAAAAGTACAAATGTTCTATAATACCTTATCTAGCAAATATACTCTGTGACGAACAGGTTGTTAGAGTTAATCTAGCCAATAACCTGCATTCTTAACATGACTTTAGTTTTAAATGTTGTACTGTTTTTCAGATTTTTTTTAAAACTTTTTTTTGTCTTTGCTACTATTTTTGGAGGCATAAGTAACTTGTTGAAATACCCTGTGCTGAGAATTCTATATTGTACCAAAATATAATATTGAATAAAGCCATTAATAATAATAATAATAATAATAATAATAATAATAATACTTTTATTGTTTATATATCTCACATATTATTAAAGAGCCAATTAAAGGAAAATACAATTTCCAAATGATAAGATTGAATACATTGTTTATTGCTAACTAATTAGAGAACCGGATTTCTAGAAAACAAAAAATCAATATAAATTATAAGTATGAGGGTAAGAAAGGATTCCAAAAAAAATAATATTTAGTCAGTGGAGACATTTGCATAAGCTCGAAATGCTAATAAATGTGAATCATTTTTCTGTAATTGATGAACACTGAAAGCAGTTCCAGCGTTGATGAAAAACACTGATCCTTGATCGTATTCACTGAAATATAAAAAGTAAAGGTATAAATAAGAATAAATCAATGCTTTCGTATTTGGATGATCGCATATGAGCATAATGTACGTATTGCCTCGATATAGCTTTAATTCACAAGCATTATATACAAAGATGGATAGTGGAAATTTAAACTTCACCCCATTGCACAAGCAAGTGGATATCAGGACTCAGTAGCTAAGTGGATAACGCGATGGCGTTTGAAGCGAACGATACTGAATTCAAGCCCCATAGTGAACATCAACTATGAGGTGCAGGTGCAGGTGCACTCAGCTGACGAGTCCCAAATAGGACGAAACACGCGTTCTGGATTCCACTGCTATCTACTATTCATCTTTGCATAAAATACATAAATAGTAAAATTTTCCACTTTAAAGAAAACTTACAAAGATTCACAAACAAACGCAGAAGGCATTGGATAATTATCCGCATATTTTGATCTGTGATTGTCTACCTTAGTGTTAGAAGTGGATAAAGGATCCCAATGCATACGTTGTAATGTGCCTTTCCCATAGATAATAATCAAAATGCTGGCAGATTTCAATGGCGAAAACTGGACTATTTTATCCTTGTCCGATATCTGTAATAAAAAAGGTAAAAAAAATACATAATTCATCATGTTTTAATTGAAAAATGCATAGTACGACAAAGATTCTTAACTATATGTTTCACAGTAGAAAGTGGTAAAACTGATGAATAAAACACATGGTCAGTCTGAGTGCCAATAAACCTATACATTTAACAAACTTGGATTGTGGCTAACAGTGGAATTCACAACGAGCGTTTTATCCTATTTGAGGCTCAGATGGATGTAGCTGAATCCGTGTTGACATTCATACCGAATCAGTGACAGACGGCAAACTGGATTCTCTATATTACCATCAGTATATATATGTGCGTCAAGCTGAGGAGTCCTAAATGGGACGAAATACGTATCGGATTGTTAGTAGTGATCTAAGATGTAAAATTATTATCCAAAATCAATATTTACACCATTTGGTTAACTCCCATGATATTGGGTAATTACAACTCGGTTACTAAATACAGGCTTGCACGATCGTCTTTAACTCACATTATGTGAGGATTCAGGATATCACCACGGGTATCCAAACTGAAATAAGAGGAGGGCGATTCATACCGAACTACTGGTTAAAAACTATGCACTTTAGTTAATGAGCTACATGATATCGAGTATTGGTGAGATACAAACTAATGCAAACACCTTGCTTATGTAGGATTTTAGTCAATGCTTGAATATTTCAGTGATAAAATGTCTAACCGTGGTAATGTGGATGAAGTAGGTTAGAATATTGTGGAGAGAGAAACAGGTTGCCTAAGATCTTAGACATTGGTGATAAATCCCGGTCAATAAGGAGTATTGGGTTGTGTCAAATTGATTTTTTTATCAATTGCATTTAACGACCACCTAATATCAAATAAAGTACATTTCTTGCTGAAAACTATGAAGTTATAACTAACTGAAGATATTACAAAGTATAACTTTGCTTTTCTTCAAAAGAGTAGTTCACTATGACAGGGTTTACTGAATAGTTTTATTAGATCGCAGATTCTTAGCAACAACTAAATTCAAAGAAAAGAAAATCCTAATCTCCCTATTTTGGGGAAGCCGCAATAGAAAACTTTGGGGAACTGGCACAAAAACACCATAATTCCCCAAAAGTAAGGAGATTGGGATGAAGTAGTTAAGAAGCTATAGATCTTTTTTAAAAGATCCGGGAAAACTATACTATGCTGAAGGCTTTAGGAGATTTTAAGTGACTTGCATATTGACAAATGCAAATCTATTTGAGACCATGGTATTCAACAACAAGCTATCCATACCGGGGTTTCAACTTCGAGCTAATAATTAACATCCGATATTTCAAATTTGATTGGTCCCTCAATACGTCAGTATTGTGTAATTTGACCAAAAATCATAGGTCGAACAGTAGATATTAAACTTGTTACCTACTGAGATTTTATCCACAGCAAAATCATCAACTGGAGGAGAAAATGTCACAATTTCAGACATAACTGATGTATCATCTTTAATTGATTTCTTTTCTTGATCATCACTAGTATGCACATCTGAATCGATTGGTACAATTTTTTTCGTCTGCCCAACAAATTTCAATGCTGATCCCCATCGAGGTTCATATTGAATAATTCGAAGCAGATGATCCACATCTTTGAATTTCGGTGTTAAACCGGCACGAATTACATTATCCGAAGAAGCCATACATTCCACGCAATCACCGGATAAATAAGCATGTGGCAAATTAGGCTTGATGATATAGAGAAATAACGATAAAGTTATTGTCAAAATTAAAAGATTTGACAGTATATAACTATTACTGGAAATATACATTAAAGCATATACATACATATTCATCCTGTAGATAAGCAGAGTGAAGTCATAAAACTTTTAACTTAAAAAATGAAGGGTACATCTATCATATTCCCTTTAAGATACTTCATATTTGTCGCAATACAATTGCACAATCTCCATTTCCATTGGCTAAAACATTCCATGAAGTTAGACTCTACGTGCTTCGCTGTTCTACATTTTTTCAAACTTTGAATGTTTTGGTATGATCTTGTACTCAGATAACGTTCTTAAAGTTACCTCATGAGAAGTCAGTTAACAGTGAACCAGAAAAACATAAAATAAATTACACGCGTTCAGTGATTCCACCTACAAAAAAGACTGGTGATCATCACCTACTATGTATACATGGAGTCTATACACTTCTCAACAAAACGCTTCATCCATTTGGAAAAAGTTAGTTTCTTCCCGATATCTAAATTATGGTGAGAAAATTTAACGTATACTCCACTTCGGTTATTTATCACAATCTACTAGGTTCAGATACTTTGTAGCAATGTGGTGCACAGTGGACACCATCATACTTAGCGTAGGTGTCAATCATACAATAATTTGACCTTAGTATTGTTGGAAGACTATTATCAGACAAAATCTTTAGTCCAACTGATAGCATTCCTGTTAAACTTCGAGACTAGAAAATGAAATGAATTTTTCAAATTTATAGTACAATACATTGACGGTCAAACTAAAGCTCCAATGTAAAGTGTATCCTCACTAGACAAAGTGAAAATATTCCCAAAAAAATAGAAGAAAGACTGAAAAGTATTGGGAGATACACTTTAAGTAAAAGCACATATAATGTGAGGCCTATTCATGTTTGAGAAACACAAAAAAGCGACAGAAAAATTATCACTGTCTATCACTTTAGACAATTTATGGTAATCATTCAAGTCAATAAGTTTTACCGTGATTAGGACCGATGATAACCAAGGAGTCGTTACAAATCAACTGAATACAACTACCCTAGATTACATGAATGTAATAAACTGATTTGCTACTCATGTTTTTTTCATTTAGCACATAATATGCGATAAAATAATCGTCGAAAAGATAGGACAAATTGATCACGCCGTTTAAAAAGATGCATTTAAATGTGCAAACATATTAGACTTTAGGATGAACGGACCGGATTGGACAAATATAAAATAATATCCGAAGGGGTTTTGTGGATATTAAAGCAATTTTAATAGTTGAGATCATGAGTCAATTGAAGCCAGACCACCATGGAAAACCTGGCAACACTGGACCGCCGTTTCGTCCTATTGCGGGACTTCTCAGCAGTGCACACCCACGGTCCCGCCTAGAGATATTAGAACCCAGAACTTATCAGTCTTGCGCGTGAGCGCTTAACCACTCAGCCGGCATCCAACGGTGTTAATATCTAACTTCAACTAATCCACGAAATTGATCGACACATCCACTGTTGTATTCAGTCAGTTACTATCTCACAACAGACCCCGTTGAAATCCACCGGTCACTGCTTCTCATTAGAACTCCAGGAAATACCTCTTGAAGACTGTCACTAGTGAGCATATCTTGATAAGTATCAGAAGGGGTTTTGTGGATATTATAGTAATCTTAATAGTTAAGATCATCAGTCAATTGAATCTAGACCATCATGAAAAAACCTACTGTGGGACTGTGCACAATGCTGAGGAGTCCCACAATAGGAGGAAACGTCCGTTCAGTGCTTCCAGGTTTTCCATGGTGGTCTAGCTTCGATTGACTCATGATCTCAACTATTAAAAATATAAAATTAGACAGATACTTTATTGTTATATAATATATATCGTGACTTATTTTGTAAGTTATATAACATTTTTACTATCTATATTAATTAGTCAGTAATTGTATCAAATAAATTTAGGTGAGAATAACACAAATTTATTCTATTAACGTTTTATCACATCCGGACAATCTGTATATACTGGTTAAATATTAAAATAACAATTCTCAATATGAACTTTGTTAAAAGTTAGCAAATGCATGTATCAGTATAACGTAGTAAAAATTACAATTTAAGTATATTGAACAACATGTAACGGTTAGATAAAATATTGATAAGAATGGTCTAGAACACTGACTGAAATAGTAACAAACGATCATACAGCTTGAAATAAATGATTACATAATTAAATGAGTTCACCTAATTTGGTTAAAAACAAATCTATTAACTAGAGAGTTGTTAAAAGATGACATAATCAGATAACGATTTTGATATTAAGACAAAAAGACATTACAGAGTTTACTATTCAGTACATAAGTCAAGTTTTAAGCAAATTATAGTGGTAACGGCTTCTCACTAGAATTCCAGGAGTATCTCTTGAAGTCAGTCACTAGTGAGAAGACGATTAGTATCAGAAGGGGTTGAAGTTAGACATTAACACCGTTGGATGCTGGCTCAGTGGTCTAATGGTTAAGTGCTCGCGCGCGAAACCAGTAGGTCCTGGGTTCGAATTTCGCGGGGTGCGGGATCGTGGATGCGCACCGCTGAGGAGGCCCATACTAGGACGAAACGGCAGTCCAGTGTTTTCAGGTTTTCTATGATGGTCTAGGTTCAACTGACTCGATTTCAATCTGTGAAATTTCTAGAATCTCCATAAACGACTAAAAGTTAACAGGTACATTTCTGATATTACTACCAACTACATGTATTAACTTATGATTAAGGGATTTACACATGTATTGCAAAAGAGGTGAGATTGATCAACAGTCGTCCTTTTCTATGACTAAGAAACATTTACACCAATTAATCACTAGTGGCCAAACTGCGATTTCATCGTTAGGATTCAGTCAGCACAGAAGATAAGAGAACGGGATAATGGTTATTACTCAGAGGTGAATTTGTAAATTTGTGCGAACTGGTATCAGTCAAAAATCAATTAGCAATCTTGGGTTGTCTCCGACGCAAAGACTTCTGTAAATAACCTGTCAAATTTCAGAAATTTAACAAGTGGTGGAAATATAACACACCTGGATATGATCAGAAATGATAAGTGAATTCATTTCTTGATCACTTCATTAATCTGATAAAAATTACTAAATATTTGTACACCTAGAGGTAGTTCATATAAACTGCATATATATGAAAACTATGAATTACTCAATATTCATCACAAACCAATGAAAACCATGGAGCATTAGATAAATGTTTCATCCTAGTTTGCAACTATCCAGCAGTCCTGCATGCAAAATAAACTAGAAGTTGTTTTCACACTTCAAATTATCCCTTTTTTTAGAGGATAAATGGATAACAGATGAAAATAACGTAATGTTAATATAAAGAAAGAAAATTTTTAGGAAGAAAACATTGATGAACAATCCTAAAACGAAACAATAAGCTATTAAGAGAGAAAAATTTCAGTTTAATATTAAGGCAGGGTTAAAATGGCTTAGTGATATAATGGGATGAAAAGTAAAAATTAGATTGATTTATTCATTATGATTTTTGTACAACATTAATTCCGTTTTAATTCAATGTGATGTTGTATTCGGTTTTGTTTCACCGCCAGACCGTAGCTGCTACCTTGACGCGGTGGTCGTGCTTGCCTATCGTGATGACTCAACCAAGCTGTATTGGCTAAAACATATGTTCCTGTAGGTTCTACCATGCCAGACAGGTCGATTGGAGAACGGTAAGACTAAAAGCAGCAACTCAAGGGTCTGAGGGCGAAGTCGTACTGCTGACTGTAGAGGGGTGTGACAGCAGTAAGGTGTTTCCCTCGGACAACCAGCGTCTGCAGCGATGCTACACTCTCACAAGGAAGGAAGGGATCAGAAAAGGTTGACCCTAAAAATGTCACACCTCACCTTGCCTCACGGATTTCCGTCTCCGACGGTAAGGCCCTTTGAAGAACGGAGCTAACACATTAAAAACCTTACACGAAAAGGCTGTGCGCGACCGGCCTCAAGCAGTTGTCCCTTGGGCACTGCGGTCACGCTCCCGGGTCGTTAAGACCAACACTAATCCAATTTTCTTTTCAGGTTCCTCGAGAAATACCCTTCCACGGTGTGGGCAGCCGGGAAGTGATATCAGCCCTCATACCCGTAACAGCACACGAGACTTTGTTTCACCGTATGACATTTTATTCTGTAAAGCATACGATATTCTTGTATTAAGTTAACATGAACTATACCGAGTATGTAACTTGTTATAACCCTAAGTATTTTTTCATATATGTGATTTTAATATAATTATTAATCAGAAATGAGTGTATGAATCAATATATAAATGAGTGTATTTCCGGCTAGACTTGTCATGATTGTTCGTGCTTCTGGCTGCATGTGGAATATATTTCCCTCTTCCGAACTTGGACTTTTCACTCTAGTTAACTGGGCTGGGATGCGTCGGAATAGCTAGCTTATCTGCCATTGTGTCACAAAGTCTTCGTCCTGTTCTCAGATTAGATGAACTCGTAATCTCTTCAAACATAGCACTTAGCACATCTAGGTATTCAAATATACTATTTCATCAATAGTTGAACATAATAACAATAAATGATCTTCAAGTTGAGATCATGAGTCAATTGAAGCTAGACCATCATGGAAAACCTGGAAGCACTAGACGGCCGTCTCGTCCTACTGTGAGACTCCTTAGCAGTGCGCATCCACGATCCCGCCTCGCGAGGTCTATTCAATTCCTCTTCATAGTTTAACTTCGAAGACAACACTATTTCATCTTATTTTGATTCTTTTTTAGATTGACTGTTATTTGGTTATACTTCACTTAACATGAATATGATTGATTATACATTCGCATTCAAATATATTCAACATTATTTGGCTGTCACAAAAATAAATAAAAAGTGAAGAAATAATTTTTTACTTACTTCAAGAAAAATTGCTTCTCCTGGATTGAGTTTTAAATAATTAAAAAAGAACAAACTAAAACAACCAACATCTCCAGGGTAATCTGTTGCCAAACGAATGAATATCTCTCCAAGAGCTTCTGTATCAAGAATATAATTTTTAAAAGGTGGGATAACTATCTTTTCACCATTAGTCAGACGTCTTTTCAAAGCTTCCACTAAATTACTGACCTGTAAAGAAATGAGAAGGTATTGAATTAAGTTCAGATAAATGATTATATTTTAATCGTAAAACTGATAATAAAATAACTAAGACAACAGTCGGAACTATCGAAAACACCTTCATAATAGGTCGCTTTGTAATCTAGATTGCTTCGGTTTGGGCACCCGGGCAGTATCACAGCCCTCACACATATCGAATGAGATTTGTGTGGCGCATATGTATTTGGTGCCTACTTGTACCAATATCTATGTGTTAAAATAATAAATCTAAGAAAATTCCCCAGAAAATGTATGTCCATGGTGATTTGGAATGAAAAATACGTCCAAAATCACCTCACTCCACGACAGCTTATGTATGCATCAATTGATTTACTATTTCTACGTGATAATCTACGTCTTTATTTGGCATTACTCACCAAGGAGTTCTACTATAAAGTGAGAATGCTTTGAAGATATATTTAATTATTTACTTACAACATACGTATGTGCTATGCCATTATTTGTCATGCTTCGAAGTGTACTGAGCTCCTTTATAGTATACTCGATATTCTAAATATTTTCTCCAGACCAAGTGGTACAAGATAAGCAGTATATTTTGTATATTTGTTGAGATTTTGATATTCACCAGTCTACAATGGTTGATGTGACTCTAAAAACAACTAAGTGAATTACTATGATAGGATTAGATGTTGACACAGATCAGTCCTGGAGGTGACATCTTGGATTTGAGGAGAGAGCAATGGATTCCTAACCTTGTTGTATTATCACGTAGTTTCCAGAAAACAGTCGTCATTTTCGCAAAATTTTTATATCTTACATAAATGAAACGATTTCTGGCTAAGGCATCAATTCCGAAAAGTCGGATTATATGACAAAAGAAACCTCTAAGAGTATACCTATGATAAAAGTAGGTGAAACTGGAAAAAATGTAAATTTTTAAAGAGCTACATTTTACAAGGAATTAGCCAACTTTACAGTCTAGTTAGTGAGATTTTGGTGAACCAGAAATATTAAAATAAGGAATTATTTTTTATTACATAAACCAGTAAGTATTTCTTTTTCCTATGCTTACTGTGAATTGGCAGCTTTATTAGAAAACGTGCGTGTACAATGTGGAAACTCCTATTGTGATTCAGCTCTGACTCACCGGAACGACTGATATATGCATAGTTTTTAACTAATTTGCTTGGTGCAGATTTAAGCTACACCACAAGTGTGAAAGTTATTTGTGCCAATTGGATGATCAAACTGAAGCAGGTGGAGAGGGTCTCAAAGCCGTGACTTAGTAGGTGAAAGTTGAAGACCCTAACCATTGAACTACCCTCTCTTAAGTGTTCGACTATCACTATCTTTTAAGAGATTACTCCCAGTTAAACTACCACAATAGAATGTCATTTATAGTCCTTTAATTCTGACACATATGTGAGATCCAAGGATCGTTTGTTACACTTAAAAATGACTGACTGAGCACATCAAAACGAGAGATGATTTAAAGTAAATGACTCCTTGAGCTTTCAAAAAACCCACGAAAAGTTGAAAAATAGTACTTTGTGCATACGTTTTATTGTAAATGTCACTGACGAGATGAAGGTATCAGGTTTTTACTTATAATTACTTGACTGTTTTATAAACATATCATTGGTATATTTCTTGTAGATGAATTTAATCTATCTCTTGCATACTTGGTTAGAATTTTGAAAAAAGTAAACTTGTTAATTTTACAGCAGAAAATTCCATTTTTCCGGAAACCATATTAAATGCAAACGGAATAAAATAGTCCATGATCATGCACTCTACGCTCTCTAGTGTGAATGCTGACCTGGGACTATGTGGAATTATCAGCGCAATTATTCAAAAACTTTGAACTTCTTTGGTAAAGTTAGGATTGACAGCACCTAGTTTCAGGTGAAAAACCCATACATATATATATATATATATATAACAGTTGAAGATAACAGAATATATATAGAACAAGTGAAAATGTTTCGTCCATGCCACACGAGAAAAGCTAAAAGAGTTCGACTTACAACACTGGACTCGGCATTCATCAAACGAGAGTAGGCGGCTTTAATTGACGAAGAAGTAAGTGTTTTATCTGTGAAGATATTTAACAAGTCATTTGTAAAATCTGGACCAATAATAGCGTGAAGTTCAGGAATATCTATAGAAGGCAAAATGCAACAATCAGGATCAGAAAAATCACTGAAAAATTAAATCCAATCATCAATTTAACTATAACTTCAGTCTTTCTTTCAAATCTCATTATATATATTTCCGTCTCGACAGTCTAATAACATCTGCAGTCCTCATAGAATAGTTATGATATAACATTAAATAAACTGAATTGGAGTTTAGAATATGTTTCACGGATAGTCCGATTTCTTGCTGCTTTTAGTAATTCCCAAGTAACTGTTGAGAAACCACAACATAACATGTGTTTGCAGAAGTCTGAATATATTAGGTCGCCCTCTGATGAAAAGTTTCATCTTTGCATTTCTAGTGCGTAAAAACCTGTAAAACTCCACAGCAATTAGTCATGGTTTGTATTTTTTAAAATAAATATTACACCTATAGTTGCATAGTCTCCTTTGCATCGACCAATTGTTTTAAATTCTGAAAATGATATTAGAACTACATTCATGTGAAAAGAAGTTTAAAGATGCTTAATATTACAACTCTAAAACGTCTTTCAAAACAGAATACTCGCAAGTACCAAGACGGTGACTCTAACAAGTGGCTCCAAATAGTTACAGAACGCCAGCATTATATTCCCCTGAGAGCCATTAGAAATGCAGTCGGAAACATTAAATAACAGATATTTGGACAAACGAGATTTAAGCCAATAATTTGGTAACGAGGAATATAATCTCAACCTCATCGTACTGCTTTTAATGCCCAAGACGTGTTTGAAGGTGTTTTGAAATTATTCATGTAAGAAGAGATTCTACTTACGTTTCGCAAAGGCACCAATTTCTTCGGGTGGTCTGAAACCGACCATCGCCTCAAAAGGTGTTAATGCGATAGCTATTTCTGGTTTGTGATTAGCATCTTTGTATAAATCAGGTCTGTTAGCATGTAACCTGACAGCATACTCCTAAAACGAGAAAATTAAACTTTTGGGACAGATAAAACTAACACTTCCCAAATACAAACCTGTTAGCTTTCCTTGAAAGGAAAACACCATGACAAGCTTTTCTTAGCAAGTCATAATGACTAATACAGAAAACAACGGAAAATGGTACTAAAAGACTGTTCGCTAAATACAGAGACAAAGACCTCAAAATGCATTATTCAAGCAAGGAATTTGACGAAGAATGTAGTGTAAAAGTATACCTTCAGTTTAAAACACTTTACAATAGTATACGAGAAACTCGCCTAAAAGGGAGAGATATTAAAATCGACATGATCAAAATTAAACAAACGAAAATAACTGAAGGGTTATAAAATGATTGAGACTTAAAGGAAGATAATTAATGGACTGGACTGAGTCACTTCCGTCAGTGAACGCCCATAATTTCATCGACTAACTGAACTCTTCCAACGAGACTTTATGCGTTATCTCAACATTGGTCTCTTAGTGGTTCCACTATATACAATCATTGCTGCTAGAAAGTTAATGATAGGATACGTAACATTTATTCATACTTAGTATCGTTGAAGTATCCTTCTATATCACAAACCAGAAAACATCCCAACCTTTAGTAATGTCGACAACAGATGTTACATTCAGTGACGCCTTTTATTCAAATAGAGCAGAAATGAGGTTCGAGGTGAGCTACAGGTTCAAATAAAGGGACGGGTAAGAACTAGGTGGAAAAAGAACAATTACGAGATTTGGATATGAAAATTTGTTTATGATAAAATGATGAGCTCTTCAAGTTTATGAGGACATTTCACTAATATATATCACTAATAATATCGGGTTATTTTTCTTGTAAAAACTAAACGACTTTAAGGTTGCAATAAGTTTTTGTAGATCATTACCACCATCATAAGACCTAGAAATTTTTGAGCCAAGTGTAGAGAATTATCTACATGAGCCCAAAGAACATTTAGAACAACATCCTACAAATCATGGATCATTTACAGACCTTGAAGGTGATTGAATATAGCAAACAGAAAGTTATTTAGCGAAGTGATATCGTTGCACAAAAAGTTGCTACATGAGACTGGTGCCTTTAAGTCAATTGCAATTCCATGGTTGTAGTCCTACAGATTACTTAACAGAAGTTACAAATTTAGATCGAAACGAGTGGCGACCCTACTGTAGTCCCGACTACATTTTTCATGGGACAAGACTCATTTTACGATGATAATCACAGTTGTGTTGTAAACGAAACCGCCTTCTTTCAGAATAATAGTCCTATCTTACAAAAACATAATCGAGTAAACCTGAAGTAAACAGGCGGATGAGTTTGGGGTGTTTGTCGTTTTGGTTAGTCAGAAGACGGCGAGAATAAATGAATGATTCATGATTTGAATATAATTTTAGGGTTCCTATATTACAATTAATGGCACACCTACCTTTAATAATATTTTGATATTTGCACCATGGCTTTTCTCGTTTTTTTATTAAGGTGTATACTAAACCACAACTGTTTTACATGAAAACACCAATAAAGGCAAAGACAAACCAAGAATAAAATTAGCCACTACCGGATTAATGTGTACGAACTTACCTTGTCTGGATGGGCCTGGATAGATAGCGCCTTTCGCACAGAAAGAACTTTGAACAGAAAAGGTAAAGCATTGCCAAATTTTTCAGACACTTTCGAACCTAAACAGTGTGGATTTCTTGAAATATAGGTGTCAAGAGATATTGAAGGACTATCCATCATGAAAGACGGTCCAGAAACATGAGTCCCCATCCATAGCTATGTGGAGATTTGAACTAGAACGACATGAATTACCTCTGCATACGGCTTCAAGTTATCTAGCTCTTGAGTTTGACTCAATAGCTTGTAGACCTCACTGTTTACTCCAACTTTACCCCAATCGTACACTTGAAAAGCACATTTTAAACGAAACATAACTAGTTAATAAACCTATAAGTCCCAAAACGGACCTAAGTGACCTTGACTTGAAGCCTAACACATTTACTATCCAATATCCTTCAAATGGCTTTCAAATGATTCTGGACGGAATAGAAGAAGCTTTTGCTTAACGGGCTCCCGTATCTAATAGCAGTGTATCACCGATGCTAATAGGTAGGAACCTAGGTTTATTTAACGGCAAAAGAAAATGTGGTCGATGTCTAATCCTCAATTGAAACGGCTTGGGACTAATTTCAAAATTTATACTTAAAAGTTACCGCACCCGACATCCTTTGTACTACACCGAGGGGGCCGAGAAACTCTCCACCATGGCCCACTAGGGAGGTCCACATCTTTCTCCGTAAGCGAAGAAAAATGTGGGATAGATTTAGGTTACTGGGGACTGATGAGACAAAATCTCAGTATCGAAAAGCTCGGAATACCTGTGCCTCGACCCTCCATAAGTCTAGAAAGTTGAACGAAGAAAAATTGTTAAGGAATCCATAGGATGTCCTAAACGCTTGTATCCCTATATAAACCAAAGGATAAAAGGAAGGGCAAATATTCCTGCACTATGAGGAGACAGTACTGCCGCATCATTAGTGGAGGATGACTTTGGTAAGGCTCAAGTGTTCTCGAACTACTTTAGAAATGTATATACCATAGAAACACCCTTCCCGTCAGTCCATACAAATCCCCCACACATACAGTGGATAGCGAGACCATTAAAGAACTCGATGTCTTTGGTCTGCTAAATAAGCTTGACATAGGTGAATCCACGGGGCTACTAAAAAAAATTATCTAACTTCGTTGCGAACCCTTTAAGTATATGCTTTAATCTTTCCGTAACGCAGGGTTGTTTACCAAAACACTGGAAGAACGCCATAGTAAGTCCTATCTTCAAAACAGGTACGAAAAATAAACCTGAGAATTGCCGACTCGTTAGCCTAACTAGTGTGGTTGTTGAAATCTTAGAAAAGATTACTCGGAAGGAGCTGTTTAAGTACCTCAATGAAAACCGGATCCTTTCGGAGAAGCAGGATGGTTTCAGAACAGGTTATTCTTGTCTCACTAACTTATTAGTGGCTCGTGAAATCTGGTGCGCTCTTAAGGACCAAAAGTTACCTGTAGACGTAGCCTACATTGATTTCAGCAAAGCTTTTGACAAAGTTCGCCACAACCGGCTGTTATATAAGCTACGGAATGTCGGAATCGGACGCAATCTATTGATGTGGATAAAAGACTTCCTATTTGGGTGCCAATAAAGAGTACGGGTTAATTCAAAGCTATCTAGCTGGGAAACTGTGCCTAGTGGAGTGCCCCAGGGTACAGTTTTGAGGCCAGTGCTATTCCTCTTGTATGTAAATGACCTTCCTTGTCTCCTATCATCATCGGTCTTGCTATACGCTGACGATGTCAAGATATGGAGGACGATACTACGTAAGGATGATGGCTTAGAACTTCAAAAAGACCTGAAGAAGTTATCTGAATGGTCTCAAACCTGGCAGTTGCCGATAAATACTTCCAAGTGTGTTGTGATGCATATCGGTCATCAAGGCACAGATACATACACGATGAATAACACTGAGCTACCTGTCGTCCAGACATATAATGACTTAGGAGTTATCGTTAGCCAAGACTTAAAGACTACTGCACACTGCCGTGCAATAGCCGCCAAAGGTTTTAGAACCTTATGGTCAATACGTAGGGCTTTTAGTCATGTCGACGCTAAGAGCTTTTTGACTTTGTATACAGTGTTCGTACGTCCTAAACTTGAGTACTGCATACAAGCGGCCAGCCCCTGCCTAAAAAAAAGACAGTGAGCTTCTGGAAAAGGTTCGGAGAACAGCGACCAAGATGATTCCCGGAATAGCGAAGCTTCCGTATGATGCTGGACTGGCCAAGCTAAACCTATTCACGTTGTCATATCTCAGAACTAGAGGCGACTTGATTACTGTCTTAAAATTGCTTAGCGATAAATTTGCACCTTCCAAAACAGAGAATTTACGAGGACACTCCAAGAAAGTTCACAAGCCCAGAACAAATTACTTGTCAGCTGACTATCAACTTTCCCATCAAATCATCAACGAGTGAAATTCATTACCTCAGCACGTGGTTGAGGCTCCTTCCATCGACTCTTTTAAAAGTTGGATCGACTGGGAGACCACCACTGCCTTTCCAAACTGAAATCGTAGTAGTAAGCTGTACGGAGATGCTGTCCTGAGCCGTTGAGCATATGTCGAACCTTCTCCTAAAGGACTTCTATGAAGTCAGTTGGACTACCGCAGCCGGCAGCGAATCCCAGAACTTGACTACCCATCAGTAGCATAGGGCGAAGCGGTAAATAAATCCCCTCAGTCAATAGCTTAGTAAGTCTCCGACATTTGTTGCTGACTGTATCAATTTTAATGGACCCGCCTAGCTGAAGGCACTCGGTCACGCATCCGAACCAGATCACGAGTGAGTACGCCGTGTTTCGCTTCTTCTGCAATCCCTATTCAGCATAGATTAGTCATTTCTTGATATATCGATATTCTGTCAAATATACCTTCGAACCTCTTTGCTCCTGATTTCACTGAGTTGTCAAGTTTTGAATTACTGCCAATGATACCAAAATCTTTGCGTTCCCGAATTCAAGGCACTATTGTCTCTTTGATGGTATACTGATATATTAAGCAATAAAAGTGCATTTTTCAGTTTTTTGGAGCTTCAATATAAGTACAAGTGTTTAAGCACTCTATGAACTTCTCTTTATTGGTAATTTACTAAGCAAAAGAATTTGCCTCGTAGATGTATGATATAGGTGGTAAAATTGTTCAGTTAGACGACATATCTGAGCAAAGTCTACAATAGCAGAGTAGTCCTCTGTGATAATTAGGAGTATTTGAATTATAGTATGAACTAAGAATCCCTAAAATAACGTAATTGAATCAAGAAGTACTAGATAAACACAATTGAATGTACTATATTTAGAATTCGAAATCAAGCATTCAACAGGTACAAAGGAATCATTAGTTCATCCAAACACTACATCCGCCACAGCTTAAATTGGAGTCTAGGTGTCTGTAATCAAATGTACGTCTTCTTCTCAAATTTATCCTGTGTCTGTCCGACATTGTATTATATAAAAACTCTATCATCTAGAATGCAGTCATTAGTATTAGAATTAACAACCGAAATCGGAACAGACTCACCTGCTTCCTGGGATTATGTTACCAGCATGTCGGTCGTGTACTGAAACCGCTGCTATCTATAATTTGAACCATAGACTTTTAGACTATCCTACCCCACGAAATAATGTTGGATCTTTATATCCCCAACTTATGAATAATGTGGCTTCATTTAAAACATTTCTCACATTGACTAGAGTAAACATTAGAAGTGACTTCGTGATAAGGATAAACAGCAGTTGATATGAAATCATCTAAATTCTTATCAAACTCGAGCTCATTTAGTAACTGTGCTTCGCATTGAACAAGTTTCCCACAAGAAATAAATGCATTATGAGGACATCAACATTTGACTCTTCTGAAATAGTTTTCTCAAATTTGTTAAGAATGTCATTGCAGAATAGAAGATCATTAGAAAAATCAGCATCTATCGAAACTGCATCAAGTTTTCGATCATGATTAGGTTTATTCAAAATATTTTCCTCAGATTTTCAAGGAATTTCATCAGAAATAAGTGAATCATTAGGGAAAATCATATCTGGTACAATAACATTAGAAATCCGACAAATTGACTGATTAGAAACTGTTGTCTCTCAAAGATTATGAGTTTCACCTAACTCTGGAATGCTATATGACTTTACACTGTCTTTTGAAGTCGTTGATAAGGATAAATGATCATTAGGAACACTGGACTTTACAGAATTAGGATTACAAGACTTAATATTCGTTGCAGCAAGATAGACAGTAGTAATACAAACTGACTGAATATGTCCAATATCACCAAATTTGAAACACGTATAGTTACGAAATTTAAATGAATTAAAACAGTGGAACCTGTCACAGGAGAAACATTGACCAAACGTGTGCCCATTTTCGTGAACTGCATTGCAACTCCTCAATGAATTATCTGATGTACTCCCTGATAATCACATGAGCATCACTCACGGTTAATCATCTTGTAAAAACGTATTTGGCCGAGTACATCTTACAGCACCACATCACTTAGTAATGTGACACAGGCTTAACTGATTTCAGTAACTTATAATCACCATATCTCATTTAAATCGTATTCTGCCCGCATACGTGCAACTAACTTGTATGCCCATCAGCCGGCAAGTATAAATATTAATAGTCTATCGCAGATCAGAACATTGAGTCTAGAGCGTGTCTCTTACGAACACACTCATGTATTTAAATTTTATTTTGATAACCATTCATGTGTATTAGTAGTATTACTAAATTCTATCACGGCCAAGTAAAAATGAGGTTGAGAAAATCTCCCCGTAACTAAATAAACCGTATCAAACTAACTGGAACACTAGTTGGAATTCTTCTCCACGGTATACTTTTGTTCCTTCAGTTAGCCTACTAATACAGATGCAATTGGAATTCAACTCTTATGGACAACTTACCGGCATAATCGTTATCTGATTTCATAATTTAAACCAAAACTAATACCAATATTAACATTTCTACAATATTCATTATTTTAATATTTCTAAACACAAAATAATTACTACCTATAAGTTAAGTTATTAACACGCATCGTCTTATTATTATTATTATTGTAATCCCATTTTTTATAGTTCAAATAATCTTCAACCAAATTTTCATTTTAAGCGTGTTAATCATGAAAACAGATATTTTAAGATTATTACATGTATTTCCCGACCAGATGCTGCCGGTTTCTTTTTGATTTATCTTTCAGTTTACCAATACCCAGAGGATCCTTATTATCCTTGGTAACCTCCGGCGCGCGACGATCCCATCCAATTTGGTATCGAACCAACATCACGTTGATTCTGGTGGGAGAGTAGTGGCATTGGACAATAGCCACACAATCCACAAAGCTGTGAACACGAGACTACTCAGAAAATAGATAT